TGCCAGACACTGTGGCAGGGCAGCATCCCCGATGAGCACTTGTGACCTTCTACCACTTCTCATTCTTCAGCCCCTCACTCTTCCTTTCTCTGTCTTCCCGTGGTCAATGCTGTCTTTTTAAACGTCCCCCAGGTCTGACACTTCTGTCCTGGGTGCTCCTAGAGAACTTTACTCATCCGTGGATCCTTCCCTGGTTCTCCATCTTTCTCCACCAATTTCCTCTGCCCTCAGGATTTCATCTCTTCTTAAAGCAGGAAGGGTACCTAACCACCTGGGGGACGTGTGACCTAAGGTAACCTAAGTAACAGTGGCACTTTTCAATTCCTGACTTATTCCAGCTGAAAAAACTATCACCCGTTTACTTTTCTGAGAGGAGTTGCTAGGATCTGCAGGCTCGTTCACGGACCGTAAGCCACGTGGGAACAGCCCTGATGCTCATCGGTCCAGTAACCCGGAAAGCTATGGTCAGAGGGACGGGAGAGCTTCTGGTAGATGCCAATTAGCTAGAGTCCCTCCACTCCAGAGGTCTCTAACGCAGGAAAAGAAGCCGCACTTACAATTTAGAAAACGGTCTTTGTGTGCAGGACCTACAGACCCAGCCTGGGCCATCAGTCACATAAAACAGGAGAGTTTGGTGCAGTCCACATCTTTTATCCCCTGAATGCTCTGTCGGTTTCCAGTAGCCTGGATTTGGCCTGCCTCCCAGTGCTGACCTAGTCAGGGGACAGAGTGACTTAGTCACTCCATGCCCTCCCCCCACCCATTGTCTCAGCCAATATGTTCTCAGTCTAATTATTTGCTTTTCCTCCAAAGCTGAGGGTGTGTCACCTATAAACTAGAGATGAAGCTGACTCACCTGGCTCACATTCCAAACAGGTAAGGTAGTGCTGGCTCTCTTCAAAGCCTCAGGAACCTGCTTCTCTTCCTCACCTACCTGTTGCCAGGCCCCTGATGGCCTTAGAAACCCGTTCTCACGCCCCCAGGGGATTTGTCAGGCCCAGAGTAGGAGCAGGCCCAATCTTGCCAAGAGTCCTTTAGTTAATGTCCTAGCTCTCCTGGGGACCGGCGCTTGCAATAATTGAGAGCTGATAAGTCCTATTTACAACAAAATGCCTCCGGTGATCTTTAGAGCTCATAGGCCTGGAGGCAGGGATTTTCTCTTAGGAGTTCCCCTAGTGCCTCATCTTAGGAACCCTATAGGAAATGCGGGAACGGAAATGGCGTAACTGAACTCTTGTCTCTTGCTGTTTTATAATCACTAGGAATATTTACACCTTGGAAATTGGTAAATGCTATAAACCAGGGCTTTTGGCTCTTGGAGAGCTGGTTGTTAATATTCACCAGCACATCACTGGTGCTAAAGAAAGCAGAACACAAACGTAGGGACGGAAATTAGCAAGCCATGTATTGAAGTTAGGGCTAGACGGGGCTCAGGTTGTATGGGATCTTACAGGGCAAACTAAGGAATTTTGACTTTATCCTATAGATATCAAGGGGTCGTAGATGGCATTTTATTAGTTGAAATGCTTTTGGTTATAAATAATAGAAAAACTAAATGTAAAATGGCTTAAACGGTAAGAATTTCAAGGAGAACCACTCAGGGTTAGCTCATTCAGCAGTTCACCCAAGACGCAGATGCTTTCCATCTTCTTGCTTTGCCGTCCTCAGTCTGTCAGCTTGTCCTCCAATCAGAACATCTGTTTCAAATTCAGCAACATTCAGCTGCAGAAGAGAATAATTTATTTCTCTTTTTCTCTTTGTAAGAGCAAGGAAGTCCCACAGACTTCCTCCAATGTCACATTCGTGAGAACTTGATCACATGCCTAAACCAAGTACTGGCGAGGGGAATGGAACTCTGCGACTGGCTTTGCTCCATCATCGTTCCAGCCACCTCCCTCCCCCTCTCCCCTGAAGACCAGTCGCACGGAGAAAGGTGGCTGATTGAACAGAACTGGGGTTCCATAGGCAAGAAGGAAGAAGAAGGATGGACATCAGTTAAGTAATCGACATGCTGCTACGGCTTTTGAAAAGAGAGAAAATATCAATGAAATATTTTAGGAAGCGTAATCTAGCAATGGTTCGCAGTGAGATAGAGAGAGACCCGGAAGAGAGAGACCCGGTTATACTATTATGAGTCTGGATGTGACTCCATTATGAGTGTGGTATGCGCTATCAGAGCAATGGTTCTCAACTGCCAAGTCATTCATTTATTCGTTAAATAAATATTTAATGAGCGACTGCCACAGGTCAGGCCCTATGCTGGGTGCCATAGATAAAATGATGAACTTATCTCATGGAGCTTCATAGTCTAATGGATTAAGCAAATATCAATAAGGAAATCCACAAATAAGTGGAAGTTTATAACTTAGTTACTATTATGAAAGAACCCAGGATATTTGTTTTCTATGTTTTTAATTGAGGTAAAAGTCATACAGTGAAACACACAGATCTTAAGTACACAACTTGAAGTACATGTGGCTGTGACTACCCTATCAAGATATAGAACATTTCCATCACCCCAGAAATTTCCCTTGTGCCCCCTTTCTATTCAATCCCCACGTTCCTAATAGGCACAGTTTGATTTCTATCATCAAGATAGAATTCTGTTCTTGAATTCTATAATAATGGTTTCTTTTGCTCAACGAATGATTTTGAGATTAATCTATGCTGTTGTGTTTAAAGGGAGTTCGCTTTTAAAATTTGTATTTCATTTTTTGATCAAAGTATTTATCTATTTTTCCATTGATAGACATTGAGATGTTTCCAGTTTTGGCCTATTATGAATAAAGCTGCTGTGAACATTCATGTATAAGCTTTTTATAGACATATGTTTCAATTCCTTTTGGTTAAATACCTTGGAGTGGAACTGCTGGGTCATAGGGTGGGAATATGTTTAACTTTGTAAGAACCACAAATGTTAGAACTAATAAACAAACTGAGTAAAGTCGCAGGATACAAAAGCAATATACTACAATCTGTTGCATTGCTTCTATACACTAACAACAAACTATCAGAAAAAGAAATTAAGAAAACAATCACATTTACAGTTGCATCAAAAAGAATAAAATATTTAGGAATAAATTTAACCAAGGGTGTGAATGACTTCTACACTGAAAACTCTAAGATATTGATGAAAGAACTTGAAGATACAAATAAATGAAAAGATAGTCTGTGCTCATGGATAGGAAGAATTAATATTGTTAAAATGTCTATACTACCCAAAGCGATCTACAGATTCGGTATGTCCCTATCAAAATTCCAAAGGCATTTTTCACAAAAATAGAACAAACTTCTAAAATTTATACCAAGTCACAAAAGACCCTAAATAGCCGAAGCAATCTTGGGAAAGAACAAAGCAAGAGGCATCACGCACCCCAATATCAAACTATATTACAAAGCTATAGTAATCAAAACATTGTGGCATTGGCATAAAAACAGACACATAGATCAATGGAACAAAATGGAGAGACCAGAAGTAAATCCATGCATTTATGGTCAATTAATCTATGACAAAGAAGGCAAGAATATACAATGGGGAAAGGACAGTCTCTTCAATAAATAGTTTTGGGAAAACTGGACAGCCGTGTGCAAAAGAGTGAAACTAGACTACTGTCTTTCACCATATACAAAATTAACTCAAATGGATTAAAGGCTTGAATGTAAGACCCGGAACCATACACCTCCTAGAAGAAAACGTAGGCGGTAAACTTTCTGACATCAGTTTTGGCAATGATTTTTTACATCTGACTCCAAAAGCAAGCAACGAAAGAAAAATAAGCAAGTAGAACCACATCAAACTAAAAAGCTTCAACACAGCAAAGGAAATCATCAACACAATGAAAATGCAACCTGCCGAATGGAAGAAAATCTTCAAATATTTGCAAATCACAAGTTGATAAGGGGCTAATATCCAAAATATATAAGGAACTCATAGAACCCAACAGCAAAAATAAAAATCTGATTAGAAAATGGGCAGAAGACCTGGATAGACATTTTCCCAAAGAAGACACACACATGGCCAACAAACACATGGAAAGAAGCTCAACATCACCAGTCATCAGGAAAATGCAAATCAAAACCACAATGAGGTATCACCTCATACCTGTTAGAATAGCTATTATCAAAAAGACAAGGAATAATAGGAGTTGGTGAGGATGCCGAGAAAAGGGAACTCTCGTGGACTGTCGGTGGAAATATAAATTGGTGTAGCTACTACAGAAAACAGTATGGTTACTCAAAAACTTAAAAATAGAACTACCATATATGATCCAGCAATTCCACTTGTGGGTATTTATCCAAAGAAAACAAAAACACTGGTTTAAAAAGATATATGCACTCCTATATTCATTGCAGCATTATTTACAATAGCCAAGGTTTGGAAACAACCTGTGTCCATCAGTGGATGACTGGATAAAGAAGATGTGGTACGTATATAAAATGGAATATTTCTCAGCCGTAAAAAGAAATAGAATCTCGCCATTTGCGACGAGATGGATGGACCTAGGGGGTATTATGCCAAGTGAAATAAAAGTCAGACGGAGAAAGACAAATACCATATGATCTCACTTATATGTGGAATCTAAACAAACAAACAAACGGCCAAGCTCGTTGCTATAGAGAACAGACCGGTGGTTTCCAGAGGGGGCGGTGGGCAAAATGGGTGACCGTGGTTTAAAGGTACAAACTTGCAGTCATCAAATGAATAAGGCATGGGGATGTAATGTACAGCGCAGTGACCGTAGTTAATAATACCGTATTGTATGTTTGCAAGTTGCTAAGAAAGTATATCTTAAAAAGTTCTCATCACAGGAAAAAATATTTGTAACTATGGTGATGGATGGTAACTAGATTTATGGTGGTGATCATTTTGCAATGTAATAGTAAATCGCTATGTTGTACGCCTGAAAAGAATATAATGTTATATGTCAATTATACCTCAATACAAAAAGGGAAGCGTGGCTATTTTAAAAATATATGGATTCATGGCCCTCGGTCCCAAGAATTCTGAGTGAGTGAGTCTGAGGTTCCTAGGGTCATACAGTACGTAGTTTTTAAAACTCCAGAGAACCACTGGTCTAAATTATAGTGGTGGCAATGGAAAGGAAGTTATTTTGGTTTGGTTTTCTTTTCCACCACAAAAGCATATAAATGCAAACAATTGCTGGTTGTTTTTTTCCTGGTTAGCTGCAAAGAGGCTTTCTCTGAACATTTCCCCCCACTCCTTTAGTCCCATGTTGAAATAATCTCTCCATTTAGTTTCTCTTGTGAAATGAAAAGCTCTGTTTTTTTTCTGCTCTTGCTAAAAGTGAAGCGAAAGCTCAGGGAGCTCCACTGCAGCCCTTAGAATCGCTAAATGGAATAAACAAAAACAAGCCTTTAGGGAGGAAGAGAGCTTTGTACTGAATGGCAGATGAGGGTGTGTGGTCTTGGGTATGCAGGATTTTCTCTGCTTTTCCTTTATTTCCTTGCTATTCTTCTACCAGGCAGCTATAATAATAATGATGATGATGATGATGATGATAATAATTAATCAGCTGTTTTCGGGCTGCTGCCGATGACATCGGACAGCTGCTTCTAAGCATTAAACATAGTGACAGCCCAAATGGCTGCACATCACTACAGAAGAGGTCTCTAGTTTCTAGGCAAAGAAACTGAAATAGGAATAGGGAGGGAGTCACTTAATGGATAAGAGGCTGGCTGAGCTGGGACCAGAACCCAGGTGGCCTGGCTCCCAGCCTGGCTGACCACACTGCTACCCACACAGCCTAGGCTGACCCAAAACAAGCAGCCCATTGAGCAATTGCACAAACAACAATGAGTGATGGACGGTCAGAGCAAGAAACAGGCACAAAGCAACTGCAACCCCATCACTTCCTGGCCCCTAAATTTCCAGGCAAGCCTGTAAAGTGCGGTCGCTTAAATGAATTTGATCAGCAACTTGGCCCAGCTTTCAAATTTGGAAAGTTTTTGTGGTCACTGCTAAAAGCAAAAGTCTGCCTTGTCCTGAGGGTGGAATGTGCCTTTGAACTCCATACCTGGCCCTAGTAAGTCTGTGGTGTGGAGTTAACACTAGAAAGACATAGTTACTATTTAGGCATGACGTGGTCCTGGGAGGGCCTTGGTGAAACAAGATGGCTTGAGATTTTTGAGGCTTCTCATCTGTGGATCGGTCCTCCTACCTCAGACTTAGCTAGCAAGGGGTGGGTGTGGCCAATGGAGTTCAGTTAGAATCAACTTAAATGACCAAGTCTCACCCACTCTCCTCCTCAAATTTGCCACTGAACTGTAGCCAAAATTTGTAGTCCCTACATGCTTGAAACCCAGGCCAAATGGTTGTTGGCCAATCTGTCTTTATGGTGCTGGGTGTGCCTCACACCAGGCACTCTGACCTGCTCGGCCTCGGTATGGTGCTAGGCCCAGCCCTAAAACCTCAACTCTGAGCCCACGGTAGCCCCAAGAGATATAGCTGTCTAGGAAGTTCCTGTTTCAGGTGTCGATTTTCTAGTTTTGAGCTGGATAATTCTAAAATGTTTAAGCTCCACCTTTATTTTGAAACTGAGGACTTCACAAAGTAGTGAGCGGACAGAAAAGTTGACTTTGTGATGTTTGTTTTTAAATAGACCTAAGAGGCACAATTTAGACAAACATTTTAAATGTGCAGACTAGGTGCCACAATGTTAAGAATCTGAATGAAAATTTAGGATTCCTTTGGTCAGATTATAGAAGGGACCGTCCCCATTTGTGCTTGACATAAGAGGTATTTCTTAAAGGGCACTTCTCATGTGAAACAGTTCACATTCTCCGTTTATTTATTCATTCAACAACTAGGGAAGGTCTGCTATGTGCCAGGCAAGCTTATGTTCTCATAGCCAGTGTAACTCACAGAACACATGTGTGAGTTCTGCTTTATGTATCTTACTGGAGTGTAAGATCCTTGATGCCTGTAATTATGTCTTGTTCACTTTTGTGTCCCCAGAGTCAATGGGCACGGTTCCTTGCACATAGTAGGGACTCAATGACTATTTGAATTATGCTGTAATGCTGTTCGAAGGCATGACCAGAAAAAAATGCCACCTAACTTTTGATTGTGCTAACAGTCTAAGGCAGGCATGTCAATACGATATCATCATTGTGCACGTCAAGAAATATTAGGTGTTTAGAGGAGAGGTTCGATTCATGAAGGGCGTAGTGAAGGACGGACAGTGCGTGACTGGGCAGGGACTGATCTAGAATTTTCCTCTGGTCAGCTCAGAATGACTGAGTGGAGTAACTGGAATTTCAGTCTTCTCATTCTAAAGTATTTTCATCCCTCTCACCTTTCCAGAACGACCCCGCCTCTTTCTGGTTCTTCCCAAAGGGCTGTGACAACTGAGTCTCCCTGGAAACCTCAGGAGTGTCCCCGGTCTCCCTGCAGTTCAGGTTCAAGAACTCTCCAGACCAGGGGCTTTGAGAACACGGGCCAGGAAAACAAGGGGTCACGCGCGGGGCAGGCGCCAAACTGGCCGCGGCCCGGGGAGCG